AATGTTTTATTATACTGATGTAAATTATAATTTCTAAGGTTTGAATTTTCTTTGGAGTTAGATAATACTGCAAGAATGAGCCGAAGTCCTGATGACGTCACAATGCTACTGAAGTCATTATGACATCATCAGGCTATGGTTTTATTTCTGGAAATCAAAATTGGCGTCAAACATTGCATGAAAACTTTCCAAGGGGTGGGTAGCAAAAACTATACCCCCGGGGTATAGCTTTCTATGCGGGGAAATTTTCAGACTATGAAGAATAGTTATTTTACCTTCTGAACTTTATAAAGGAAACATTTTAACAGAAGTATAATAATCAATGTTTTGTACCGGTTGTTGAATATGGAATTAATTATGATTTCACGAGTTAGACAGGATTTAAAAAAAGATATTTTTACGATTGCGAAGAACGAGTGAAAATATAAAATAAAAGTCCCGTCTCACGACTCTGTTAAAGGCATCCTTATATAGACTAGTTAACTCTAAAACAATTTGTATATACATGTATACGTATATCTTTACACTTTCATTACAAATAATATGTTGACGGTACGACCGTTAGGGCCAGCGCAGCTACTTATCCAGTTTTCATTTAGATCGGACTCGTGATATCCGCATGTGACATTCGGCATGTCTAAGACTCTGACGTCATATGACGTCGTATGCATGTTGCATTATCCAAAGTACAGGCGACCGTTTCACTAACAAATCGTACTTTGGATAATGCAACATGCATACGACGTCATATGACGTCAGAGTCTTAGTCTGAGCCACGCAAAAGTATTTGTAAGTGTGTGTATTTTTGTTTTCTTTTATATGTATGAAAATTTCAAAAAATAAAGCATTATATAAAAAAAACAAGACATTCTTTTATCTTTTTATTTGTTTTTATTAAAGTTTGAGATAGCATTAGATGAGGGGGAAGAGGGAAGGCGGGAAAAGCAGTGTTTTTTTTATCTTTTAATTCTCTGCCTTCTCGAAGAGGAAAAGGGTTTCCAAATTCAATTGCACCATGAATTTATTGCATGTACATCACCTAATATATAAATACATCATTGTATGTTTGTACCACTTTATTTCTGTTAGAGTATGTTTGCATATCTTGTCAAGTAATTCCGTGTTTTTATTTTGATATAATAGATTTAATGTTTGATTGATTGATTGTATATTGTTTAACGTCCCTCTTGAGAATTTTTCACTCATATGGAGACGTCAAGACGTCACCGTATGCCGGTGAAGGGCTTCAAATTTAGACCTATACTCGGCACTCAGGGCCATTCAGCAGTGAGGGTTCTTTATCGTGCCAGCGCCTACCGTGACACGGGACCTACGTTTTTAAGGTCATATCCGAAAAACCCGTGACTTTCACTTCTAATGCCGATCGCTTGGCGAAGAAACAGTCACTACCTATTTTTACGTCTTAGGTTTGACGCGGCGCCGGGAACGAGAATCGAACCCGGACCTCCCGATCACGAAGCGAACGCTCTACCACTAGGCTACCGTGAACGGTGATTTAATGTTTGATGTATGTGTTTATACAAACGTGATGATACACTTATATCTCTATACGTACATATAGTACTAAAGTTCATCATTCGGCCAAGTTGTTGAATGTACGTTACTATATGGTCTGTTATTCAAATGTTCCAGGACCTCTGGTTTTGATAATTCCTTCAAATGTTCCAGGACATCTGGTTTTGATAATTCCTTTTCTTCTCGTTTAGCATCACAAGAAAATATTTTGCCCGGCTTCCCTCTTTCTTTGGAATTCACATAATTATATAATGACAAATGAACAACACTGTAAGGTCGATCTTCTTCTTTTACGTTGGGATCAGATGCCGCCATATGTTTGGCTTGATTTAATTCTGGCTTTAAAACTTTTTTCTTCTGGTTTAAAATTGCTAGGAAACCCTGTGTCTGGCTTTAATCTTTCTTTGGAATTAAAATTATTAAATGACGACAAATAAACAACACTGTACGGTCGATCTTCTCCTTCCTTTACGTTGGGACCAGATATAGTCATATATTTGGCCTGATTTAATTCTGCATAGTTCTCCTCTCTTCTTTCTTCTCAGTATATAGTTCGTTTTCAGATACAGTGTGGTGTAAAATAGATGAGTGTGGCATGAATTGGTCGTTCTCTTTTGTTTGAAATCTCTCCAACCTTGGAGGTAATGTCAGAGATGTACAACTTTCATCATGAGCGTCAACTTCTTTTTGCGATGATAGAACATCCAATTCTTGATCTTTGCCACAAACAACTTTTCGCTCCTTATGTAACAACGGTGAGAAAATCGAAGTCATTTTCAGATTGATTTGATCATATTCGGTTTCAAATGAACATTTTTTGTACAAATTTGTAATTATCTTACGATTTGGTTCTTTAGAGATCTTACAACATTTTTCAATTTTGGAAATTGTGTCCATGCATGATGCTGCACATGCACCGTCAATTTGAGAAAACCTTATCTCAGAATAGATGTCATCATCTTGGTATTGAGGTTCTGGAGTGAGTGCAGAAAGTTCAAAGTGTCCTGGCAGATCCAAGTTTCTATCTGTAAAAAATACATACACTTGTGGTCTTGCACACCGACCATGCATGCACTTGAAAATGAAACCTATATTAAACTAAATAAATATTAAGTTTGCTTTTCCTGAAGAAAATATTAACGCACTGGCAAATATTGAGAATAACGCATCTGACCAAAAGAAAAACGCATCTAAACACATCTAAATAGGCACAATATATACATAATATTTACATTAAAAGCTTGAAAAGTCAGATGGGACTGGTTAAACTGATTTAAAGGGTAAGAATTGATTTTCATTAGGGCTTTCAAATTCAGCAAAAATAGTGTTAGATAGGATTATGTTGTTCGAAAACCACTTGAAATAAACAAAGACAACTCTAAAAGATCAAACATATATATGCATCTGGAGAAATTCAAAAGTTTGTAAAATATAATAAGGTTATAGGAAAATAAATCTCTAATTTATTTTCCAAGGAGATGTTATTCAACTTATTTAGAACTCAAATTGTGCAAGTACTGTTTATGTGCTGTAAAGAAAAAAATATCATATAAGGCTTTACGCTACTTACAAATAAGACTTAAAGAAAATTAAAGATATTTTGCTTTGGTGCAATACTGAAACTTTATATAATTTATTCACCAATTATAAGAAAAAAATAATAAAGTAAACATCCCTGCATGGTCTCAAACCACGGCATATTTTCAAGTAACTTAAAGCTTTTCAACGTAATGACCACTGCAAGAAGAGTATGGTTGAAAATTGATCTTGTTTACCATACTTGTTGGGCCAATGTTTGCTCACCAGGTTGCTTAGGTGTTCTGTTTTTACCCGATGATAAAAAAAGGACCAGCCGGGTATCGACAGAGGATTCTTACTCCTCCATGGATCATGATCCCATCTCTTATGTTTGAAGATTCTTCTGTTTTCAATTTGTATTCAATTTTGTGTAATGGACTTGGAGTTTAAATTCTGTTCGTTATCTCCATATTTTGTTACTATATATGTTAAAGCCCTTGTATAAAGTCAATATTATTTTTGTTAGGTAAAACTCATCGTCGGAAACACACGGCTGATAACGCTTTGTTCCTCTCTCCATTACGAAGCGTAACGAGACATTATCAGCCGTGGGTTTCGTACGATGTGTAGAACTTTACATCGCATTAAAAAGACATAATTTTTCAAGATATTGGGTGTTTAAGCAAACAAGAAATCTAAGTTAGAAATAAACCATATCCAAACTACAGACCATTATTCAAAACAATGACATACCTGCTCCTGTGCTTGAAGACAAAATCCTTCCAATTCTTTTAGGATGTTTCATCCTGAGTTTTGAGCTAAACAATAAAAGAAAAGAAAATCTTGATTTCTGCTTTTATGAAGATAGAAATATTACGATAAGCATACAAAACAGAGGTTCTTTTTCACAAAAATCAAAGATTAGCAGCAGACATTACTTTGGCTGTTTACAAAAAGATTTGTAAGCATTATAAAAATATGCAAATAAAACATTTAGAGATAACAAACAGTATTCAAGATCAAAAGTCCATAAAAACAATGCAAAATAGGAGCACAGCAAACACGGACCTCCAAAACATCAGACGTGGGATGAGGTCCTTAATGTTTTAACAATTAGGTATTCATATATATGTTTTTACATTTTAAACGATCACTGTATCTATTCTTTCTATCATCTGTCTTAAACGGTCGCCCGCGTGGCGCAGTGGTTAGAGCGTCTGCTCTGTGTCTGTGTCGCAGTAAGTGCTGGCACGAAAAAGATCCCTACCTGCTCAATAGCCCTGAGTGCCGAGTATAGGACAAAATTTGTAGGTCTCCACCGGCAAGTGGTGGCGTCTCCATATGAGTGAAAATCCTCGAGAGGGAAGTTAAACAATATACAATCAATCAGTCTGTCTTAAACGACTTTGCAATTATCGTATTGCATCTCTTCAACCTTTGACAAGAGAAGACAACTAATTCACTTTTTAAAACGTATATCGAATGATTACAATTGCATAATTCTAGAATTGAGCTTTTGGCTTACCGAGATCGGAAGAAAAGAAGACATCCAATTAGAATGAGTGTTACAAGAGATCCAATTAGTGAGCAGCTTACAGCGATCCAGGTATCTATGTCATGCTTAACATATAGATCCTGACGTAGTGCTGGATACAGACTGGAAGTTAACTTTGTTTGTAGATCTTTGGTTTTATTCATCCATTTAGAAGCTGTATTCGTGTTCTCAACGGCAGAAATCCTGTTTTGCAGATATGAATGGTTATTCGTATACTCAGAAACAGTTGTTTGATGCTTCACGTCTGGTGTTATCCTAGACCAATCACTGCTGTTTTCTGAGTGAAAAAATTAAAGCAAAATTATGAAATGAATATAATTCTAATTTATTGCATAAGAATATTTATTTATTCTACTATTAATGTTTTTGTGACAAATGCCACAAATAAAACATCTCTGAATAAAATTTATTACTTATATTGCATCCTGTATCTTTATGACAGTTAAAGGATGGACACTTGAAGGGTGACCAACAAACATTTGAAATATTGCGACAATCACTTTTTAATAGTATTTTTAAAAATTTGATTAGTTTATAAATAGGTCTTATATATATTTTTTTTTAAATAGTTGACATTTTGTTTAATTTTTTTTTTCATCTCAAAGTTTTCAAAATCGTTGCTTGTTTGAATAATTGTGTTACCTGTAATAGTACATCCAGCAACATTATTACAGACAGAGTCAGGACACTCACAGACAGACATACACAACTGTCCGTAATATCCACGCGGACATGTCAACTTACAGTTCCATCCAATAGATCCAGCTGGACATTCTGATTATAAAGAATGGTTAAGATCAAAAACATCTTTCTCCTTCAATTATTTGCAAACTGTGAAAACTATGTAAATACTTTATCTAATAAATTTCAAGTTCTTTTATATTGTGTTGTTGTGGTAGACATTATTTCAAAATCATATATATCATTTTACAAACAGGTTAAATAAATAAATTTTCTGGAGAAAATTGAATCAAAAATTCATTTGCATAATCAGTTACTAGTAGTTTATTTAATGTTTACACAGATACACTTTATAAACACAAGTGGCTTCATTTTTTAGAATGTAGAAAACTAACTATGAATTATACATTTTTTCACAATTCCCCAATGTATACCTGAAACGAAACTTTCAAATTTTTTTCCCCAAAATGATGCATGCAGTATTTGAAGCTCCCTTACTTGAAAGACTCATCTTATATAATAATTATATAAGATGAGTCTTTCAAGTAAGGGAGCTTCAAATACTGCATGCATCATTTTGGGGAAAAAAATTTGATTAAATTATTATTGTCCCCCGCTTTCGCGAAAGCGAGGGGACATTAAATCTCATTTGCCTGTCCGTCTGTCTGTCTAGCTGTCCGTCCGTCACAAAAACTTTAACCTTGCCCATAACTTTTGATTAAGTGGAGCTATAATTTTCATATTTCACATGTGTATTTCTTGTGACAAGATCTTTCTTTGGGTACCACCAAATTTGACCTTTTGACCTTGACCTAGGAGTTTGAACCACTTTTACACAAAAACTCCAAACTTTTACTTTGGCCATAACTTTTGAATGGTAGGTACTAGGACTTTTATATTTCACATATGTATTTTTTGTAGCAAGACCTTTTATTGGATACCAACAAATTTGACTTTTTGACCTTGACCTCGGAGATTTATGTACTTATGAATAAACTTTAACTTTGACCAAAACTTTTGAATGGTAAGGGCTAAGGATTTCATACTTCATATATGTAATCCTTTTGAAAAGACCTTTCATTAGATACCAACAACTTTGATCCTTTGACCTTGACCTTGGAGTTTGACCTCCTTTTTAAAAACTATAACCTTGGTTACAACTTTTGAACGTTGGATACTAGGACTTTCATATTTCATATATGTATCCTTTGTGGCAAGACCTTTCATTGGATACCAACAAGTTTGACCTTTTGACCTAGACGATTTATATACTTATGAAAAAACTTCAACCTTGACCAAAACTTTTGAATGGTAGGGGCAACGGCTTTCATACTTCACATATGTAATCCTTGTTAGAAGACCTTTTATCCTTTGACCTTGACCTTGGAGTTTGACCTACTTTTCAAAAACTTTGACCTTGGCCACAACTTTGGAACAGTAGATACTGGGACTTTCATAGTTCATATATGCATTCTTTGGCAAGACCTTTCATTTGATATCAACAACCTTGACCTTTTGACCTTGACCTAGGACATTTTTTGTACTAATAAAAAACTTTAACCTTGACTATAACTTTTGAATGGTAAGGGCTAGGGCTTTCATACTTCAAATATGTAATCCTTATGAGAAGACTTAATTTTCATTGGTAAACTAAGAACTTTAACCCTTTGACCTTGACCGTGGGTTCAGTGATGATTTCGAAATAAATGACATATGATAGGGTGTTCATATTACACACAATACGTCATTATACATATATCATATGGCTTCGAGGGTGACATACAAGAATATTTGCCCCGAGGTGACAGGAAAGCCATGGAGTGTTATGTCACCCGATGCCGAAGGCATTTCACCCACAATGACACCAAAAGTGGGGGACCACAATTCCTTGAATTTGCTTGTTATCAATAATAACAGATCGGCAATATAGGTTGCTAGTGTATATATTTTTTATACTTATCATTATAGATTAGTTAACTCTACAATTTCAATGTGTCTTTGAATTATTTTGTATTTATAATTGATATATTATCATTTTTATTACAAATTTTATTTATTGGTAAGCCAAAAATTATTTTATTTATGACAGAGAAATTACTCTTCATTTTTAAAACTTGTAATCCATTTCTTTTGAATTACTTGTTCAAAAAATATGTTTAAAACAAACATTAATTTTGAGAATAGATTATTAAAATCAATAAAGTTATTGATATTATTATTTTTTTTCTATTTTCTAGCTTAAAAGAAGATAAAAATTATACGTACCAGAACATTCTTTAGACTTATTGTTTAGATATTCGTTATAGCAGCACTCAGTTCCGAAACTGCCAAAAAAAAATATATGTATCAATTTTTCAACAAAAGATAAATATCGCATGGGTTAAAAAAATCCTTTCAAATCCATTTGGTTTAAATCAAAGCATATTACCTATTACAAGCTTTTACAGTGGTCATAGTTATAGAATGTGTGAAATTTTTCATACATCTGTTCATATTTAAACAGTATGGAATAGAGAATTGATTGTTAACATTTAATGAACGGAAAACAATTCTGAAACGAATGTACCTAGTTCAAGTAATGGGAAAATATAAATTGCATTCTCAAGTGGTAATAAATATGTTTATTACACATTAATAATTGCATGAATTTTGCATATGCAATATATCCGCGGTCATAATAGCCTTATCAGCCCTGCAGGTCGGATATGGTTCCGCAGGGCAATATCACATCCTTAATAAAAAAAAAATCCTGAAAAAAACAGTAATTTTTTTTCCACCTGAAGTTGATGTGTACTGTATTTTATTACTATGAGTATACCTATAAGTATGTTATAAAAATACCAAATAAAAAACAACATAAAACAAATACCGTTTTTCATGTTACATCCTGTATTAGCCCTCGACCAATATCCCCGGACCTTCGGTCTTCTGGCTGATATTGGTGTCTAGCCCTGGATGATACAGAATGTAATATGGACAAGGGTATTTATTATTCTTTTTACAAAATTCTTCTCGAATTCCTAGTCCATTTTTGTGTCCTTAAATGTGTTCATTTTATGACATCATAATTTCTTTTTAGCATGATTGTAAAAAAAAATATGCAAAGTTCACAGACAGATAAAAGATAATATTGTGTTGAAATTTCTGTTCGAATTACTCACTCGTAGCAAATTAGTGTGCCATACGCAATTATAATCTTAAGAGCTTTGGGATTCTCTGATTTTCCATCTCTTTTTAAATTCTTGAGGAGAGATTCAAATTGAGGTACCACATTGTGACCATGCTCAAAATTCCAATTCCAATTTAGCATTACAAATTAAGCATTAAGTAAATGCAGTCCATTAAACATTAGAGTTGTGAAATTAGGTGTTTTGGAAATGTTAGCGTCCCATGTCTGTCAGTAATATCTGCTGTTACCCTTTGTCAAAATGATCCGTAGATGAGTTGCTGTAAAAAAATAACCTAATGCTAGTAATTGTTATGCCCTCGTAAACGAAGTTTCTGGGTAAATAGTTTTTGTCATGTCCGTCCGTCTGTCTAACTGTCTGTCTGTCTCTCTGTCTGTCTGTTTAGCTGTTTGTTCGCAAAAACTTTAACCTTGCCCAAAACTTTCGATTTCGTGGTGCCATGACTTTCATATTTCACATGTGTATTCCTTGTGACAAAACCCTACTAAATTTGACATTTGGACCTTGACCTTGGCCCACTTTTACACAAAAATTCCAAACTTTTACTTTGGCCATATCTTTATTATGAACCAGGACATTTATACTTCACATATGTATTCTTGGTTAAAAGACCTATCATTGGATACCAACAACCTTGACCGTTTGACCTTGACCTTGGAGATTTCCGTACTTGTGAAAAAACTTTAACCTTGGCCATAATATTTTAACGGTAAGGGATAGAGTTTTCATACTTCACATATGTAATTCTTGTGAAAAGATCCTTTATTGGATGTCACGAACTTTTACCCTTTGAACATGACCTTGGAGTTTGACCTACTTTTAAGAAGCAAACCTTTACCATAACGTTTAATGACCTTGGAGTTTGACCTACTTTTTAAAATTATAACCTAAGCCATAATTTCTGAAAGGTTAGGGCTAGAGCTTCCATACTTTACATATGTAGTTTTTGTGGCAAGACCTTTTATTGGATACCAATGATCTTGACCTTGAAGATTTTTGTACTGATGAAAATTTTTAACCTTGACTGACTTTCATATTTCACAACTGTAATTCCAATGAAAATACCCAGTACTCTTGGTAACAATACATTAACTTTGCATTTCACATGTTAAAGAAAAGTTTAATCTTTGCTATATTGCTATATTGCATGTTTCACAAACACATCTCGTTTTGTAATGAAAACGTAGGCAGTGTTCGACCAAACTGACATGTTGAATTTCCAAACAAAGTTTTTGTGTCGACAACGAGTAAAGATTTTGATTTTAACGTATTATTTGGGTACGCAGCACAATTAAGGTTACAGTAAGAAGGCGGGGCCTAATTTGTACGGGAAATGTTTACTATGAGGTCACATATAATATAAGGTCTTCAAAATATCACAAATTGAAATTATTTGCTATTTCAAACAGCTGGATGGCTGTATACTACATACAAACTTACTATTACATGCAGTGCAGAAATATGTATCATGAAGTACAACTTCAATTCTACCTAAAACCATATTTTTGCATTTTTTAATTTAATAAAATTAAAAGATCACACAAGTGTCAATATTCAACATACCAAAGAAAATGTTCAGGCACAGACATAAAGAATGGAGGACTATAACGAAATTCGTCAATCGCAGTTTGATCGATGGAGTAGCACTAGCATCAGGTCTAGACCATCTGTGAATAAACGAAACATGAATATTGCACTCCCACTACTTAACATCTGCCTACACATAGCCTGTATGAAAAGATGTCTTTCCATATTGATTATCATGTTTTACAATGAAAGAGAAACAAAACTTTGCCAGTCGTAATAGCCCTTTTGGTGGAGGTAGAAAGTCTGGCTGTAATGATGAGGAGTATGTATTCCTACTGTCAAGCAGATCCATAGATTTTCCAGCAACGACTGAAGTTTTAAAAATTAATAACGAATCTTCTTCTAATGGACATAAGTAAATGTGAAGTTAAGAAACCGAAGAAGCAATCAACCAATCTGCTCCGATCTATTTCGGAAGGATAACTAGCAAATCTATTTCTATATGTATGTGTTCGTTTTTATGTAGTTTTTCATATCTTTTTGAAACATATATTCTTAAATTTTGCTTTGCATATGTCAGAGCAATAATACGTTTTCAAGAAATAAAGAAGTAAATTCAGAGTCCTTATGATATATATTTTGATCATGTGTTTCCTTGCCATTCAAAAACTTAATTTACGCAGTTATTTAATTACAAACGTTATACTTTATTGAATATTATGGAAGTAAAATATAAAACTATCAAATATAAAAAATAAAAAATATTATTCAGAAATTTCTTTTTAGTTTTTTACATTAACCCTTGATAATACTTGGACGCATGAGACCTTTGATGATAATGAATAAAATTTATAAATATTTTATACTTTTTGATGATGATGTTGTGGGTTTAAAAGATGTGGCAAAAACCGTTATTTTCTTAGACTTTTCTGATGAAGCAGAATCGAATGTACTGGTTGGTGCTTCTGGCTGAGTTGAACGTCTGTGACCTTGAACTGTAGGACCATCACTGACTGATGATGGTGATGAAAGCTCTGAAATATAAGGGAATCCATTAAGATGTGAAGTTATTGAGGATTAACAGTAATATTATTTTTAATAAACTAAACAGTACGTTTGGCCTGCTCCTAGTTTGGATTGTTTAATGGACTTTTGATCTTGAATGCTGTTACGCTTCGTCATTTTTATATGTTTCATATATGCAAAGAAATTGAATGATTAAAGGTCAAAGTAAAGGCATGGTATTCTATAGTACTTAATTAAGATTAATAAAAAAAAACTATTTATAATGTGTTTTTGTTTTATAAAATTTAATGATAAAAACAAAAAAACACATACATATTTTTAATTAATCTTTAGTAAGTACTATAGTAAACTATGCCCTAACTTTTACCTTTATTCATTCAAACTGATAAAATTGCTACTTATTTGTGAATATTCTTCAATCTTCATTGTTCCTCTTTGTGCAACAGTTATTGATGAATTTTACAGTGATGGCTTATATTTACACGAGAAAATATACGGAAGCTATTTAGCCTTGCAGATATTTAGCAAAAAAATTCAATGGAAGATAAAAATCGGTCTTTCAAGCACATATCACATGTACGCTGTCTAGGCAAGGAGCGACACCTATCCTCAACCCTTATCTTTCCATTGTGACAAATCCTCGCAAAATGCTTTTTCTGCCTTTATATATTTTCAGAACAGTATAAGGGGATATTTGGCCTAACAAATACGTTAAACTTGATATTCTATACCCGTACTACTTTGTATGGATTATGTAAATCGTAGATATGCCTATGACACCATAAATGAAAAAAGTACCCTCATACATATAACATAATGCAGGTTAAGTTGTCAGGTTAAACCAAAGACTACAAAAGTCAGCGCTTATGGTAAATTGACAATCAAAATTGCTCATAAGATTTCTGACTGAACATACATGAAACATATGGAGATAACAAACAGTATTCAATATCAAAAGTCCATTAAACAATACAAAATAGGAGCAGAGCACACACTGACCCTCATAACAACTTAATCGCCTTCACCTAGATACCCGATAGTTCTTAGCAGATTTATAGTATTAAATATCACCGTAATTATTTACTGGATGTTGAATTATCCATTTTAAGCGTTGACATGTCCAAAGATGGCTCTGATTGTCTTACAATTTTCAGTGTTGAAATATCCGTAGAGGTCTCCAACCAGCTTGACACTGGCACATCTGTGGATACTTGTTCTGAATTACAAATTAATCTCATAAAGATGTTTTTTTGTACCAAAATAAAAAAAAATGAATGAATGAAAAGGCAAAGTTATTCAAATTCTTTTGTCATTATAATATACATATTCAGTCCTTAAAATTTATAATACGAATTATGAACACCTTTTAAATTTACATTGGTCTGACATCCATTGACAGGATGACAGTGTTGTGCATTACATCCGCAAGGTACCACACAAAGACGGCCATAAAATCCTGTTATACATTGCTGTGAACAATTCAACCCGAAACTTCCCCATGGACACTCTGCATGAAAAAAATTCTTTAAAACATGAAAATGCATCTTTAGATGAAAAAAATATTATGTAGAAAATAATCCTTTACTTTTATTCTCCTAAAATAAAACATAATGTGTACATTTGTACATAGTACTGATAAAGTTAAATAAATATGTACATGTAAAATAACTTACCCATACAGTCCATCCATTGGTGATCGAAATAGAAGTTATATTTACACAAAGTACTTCCCCTAAAATTGAGAAATACATGTATTTTATTTATTACATTATTAAAGCAAATTTTATGTGTGACGTTAATTTTTCCTACCTTTTTAATTCCAGAGTATTCAGCATTCCAGCGGTTTGGATCAAAATTATTGTTGATAAATACCATTTCGATTTATAATTTACTTCCATTATTTTTATGATACATGCATTAAATGTAAATTTTGATTGGGGAATCTAGTTCTACAAAACCATCAATTTACAAAAATACCAGGAAAAACAAATGTTTAATTAGACAGTCCTATAATTTGACTTTCACTCAACGTAAACTGAACTTATACTTTAAACACTCATTTTTAAAATTTAGGGCAATTAAATTTCCCTGTAACATACTTTATAAAAATATATAAACATCCGGTACTTTATTCAAAAAAGGATTTAAATATGGTTGGAATGTGTTGTTAAATTATTAAAGCAATTTTTTTACTAATATTAACAAACTCAGGGTTAATTTAATTTAAACAATATTTTATTATGAAAAACATAATTGGATTGGACAGCAGGCACTGCCTATATAAGTCCTTTCCTCAATACAAGGTCAACATCATACATGTACAAGTAAACATTATTAATATAACATTGAAAAATATAATTATATACATGCATATATTCAGTAGAAATGTATATGACAAGGCAAATTAAGGGGAACAAACAAAAAAAGAGAAATATATGAGCTGTTAATATAATTTAAATTTATATTTTAAACTGTATGACTGGCAATTATAGTAATAATTGTTGATTGTATAATTAAAAAAAAAAATGAATAAGAAAACATAAATAGGTTTTGGTTCTGTGATTTGACAATTGAAAAAAATAGCAGATATAATATCATGCAAATCGCTTTGTAGTAGCAATAAATTCTTGAACAAGTTTAAATATTGCAATATTTTGGTTGTATGTAAGATTATTGTCTCCATTTAAAATAAGTTGTAAACATAAAGGCACTGGTAATTGCAAAGTATTAAAGTTTTGTATTAGGTTCTGTCTTTGCATACAGTATTTTGGACAATTCATAAAATAGTGATATGATGTTTCTGAACTAAATCCGCACATGTTACAACTTTTATCTTCCTTTAAAAAATGATTAAATAAGTCATCATTTAAATTACTAGCATTATTTCGCAATTGACAATGCAATATATTCATTTTACGACTTCCATAATTGTAATATTTCTTAGGTTTTATGCAGTATATATTCTTTATGGCAGTTTTGAATGATGTAAGTGAAGAAAGGTTTCGGATATTAAATGGTAAATCATTCCAAAGTCTTATAGTTGAAGGGAGGAAACTTTTCATAAATGAAGTTGTTTTGGCTTGTGGAATATGAAATGTAAGATTGTCCAGATTCCTTAAGGGATAAGAATTATCTGGAAGAATGCATTGTTGTAATAAATCTTGCAAATACTGGGGTGCTAATCCATACACTATTTTATAAAATAACACTAGTTTATGTATTTTTCTTCTTATTTCAAGAGTATCCCAGCCAAGCTCTTCATAAAGCTTTGATCTTGATGAATTGATTCTTAAACCGGTTATTATTCGTGCAGCTGCAACCTGAACATCTTCCAGTAATTTTGCATCTCTTTCATTACAATTATCCCATACAATATCTGAATATTCAAGAACAGGACGAATAAAAGCAAAATATATTTTTATCAAAGCATCCCTCTTAAGTGTGTGTTTTAACATTCTTAAGATATTTAAGCGATTACATGCTTTAGCATGAATATCAAGTATATGGGATCTCCAATTACCATCTTGTTGAAATCTTATTCCTAAATGAGTATGTGTTTCAACATTTTTAATAGTGGGCCCATCTTCACCAAACTTAATTTTTGGATGGCAAATATTTTTCCTGCTAAAATCTAGATTGACTGTTTTGCAAGGATTGAATTCTACTGCCCATATATTAGACCACTGTCTTATTTGTCCAAGATCTTTAGTTAATATGTTTGCAGAATTAATAATATCATCATCAACTATGACATAAAGAGAGGTGTCATCTGCAAAAAGCCTTACAGGACATGATAATTTGTCAGATATGTCATTAATATACAATAAGAATAAAAAGGGACCCAGGACTGACCCTTGTGGGACACCTGAATTGGTAGCTCTAGTAGTTGATGAAAAGCCATCAAGAACTACTTTTTGAGTTCTATCGGACAAGTAATTCTCAATCCAATTAACAATTTGTTCTGATATACCATAATATTTTAGTTTATAAAGGATACCTTTATGCCATACTCTATCAAATGCTTTTGAAATGTCACAAAAGACAAATCTAATATCTTTACCTTTATCAAGACTAGATATTATTGTGTGATATATTTCTAATAATTGATTTGTTGTGGAATCACCTGGTTGAAATCCAGATTGGTATTTATTAATTATATTATTTTCAAGACAATAATTATACAAGTGCTTGAATATGATTTTTTCTAAGATTTTACATACAACTGAGGTTATTGATATTGGACGATAATTATTAACATCTTGTGCACTTCCTTTATTCTTATAGATGGGAGTAATTTGTGAATTTTTCCAAATGTCTGGAAGTTGCCCAGTAGTAAGTGAATAATTGTATAATTTGGTAAGGGGTTTTACTATCGAGTTAGTTATATTTTTAAGAATCAAAGGTGACATACAGTCAGGACCTGGAGGTTTAGTAACATTTATAACTTGGAGCTGATCCAATACTTCTTGCTCTGTGATTACAAAATCATCAAATGAAAAGTTCAATGGTGGTCCTGGTCCGTGTAATGGTACCTCAGGTTCATTGTAAAGGGTTGAAACTCCAGCAAAATATTCATTGAGTAAGTTAGCTTTTTCAATAGGATGAAAGTATGTATAATTTGAGGACTTTAAAGGTGGTGGTGGTTTGCTTTTATTATTTTGTTTGGATAGAGATTTAACTATTCTCCACCATTTACCAGGGGGTATAGATTTGTCTATTTGGTCTGAAAGTTTTTGGTTAAGTCTATCTCGTGAAGCTCTAATTTCATCAATTACTTTGTTTCTTAAAATGCGGTAGTGTTCCCAGTGTTGGGGGTTTTGAGTTTTCACTGCTTTCTTGTGTATACGATTTCTTTTCCTCATTAGTTTTCTAATAGAATTATTCATAAATACCTTATCTCTGGGACGGATTGTTATGGTTTTTGTTGGGATATGTTTTTTAATGCATGCATTTATTTTGTTTACAAAATTTGTATTTATTTCATTGATGTTATGAGAATTAAAGACTTCAGTGTCCCAATCAGTTGCATTTAATTCATCATTAAGACCTTTATAATTAGCACTTTTATAGTCCCTTATCTCTCTTTTATAAGCATACTGTTTCAATATATGAAACTTAACTTCCACTCCAGTTACGGAATGACTACTACAACAAGGGGGATAGACAAAACTCTCATTAATTATACCGGTGTTGTTTGTAATGATTAGATCTATGCATGTACCCACATTCCGAGTGAAATTAGTAGGTTCATGAATCAAATTCGATAGACCAAACCTTTGTAAGAGAAGCTTAAACTGTGTACTTTGATCTACCAAAACATTGACATTAAAATCTCCTAGTAGAATGATTGGTAAATTACATTCCAGTACCTTTTCAATATTTGAGCAAAAACTGTCCCAATAGTCTGCTAATGAATTAGGTGGCCTATGCAATACACCAACAAGAATTTTTTTCTTAATAACATGTACTTCTGACCATAAGATTTCTAAATTATTAGTATTTAAATCTTTACGCTCATAAAATGCAAGTTCATTGGATATATACATTGCAACTCCTCCTCCATGCCTATTTCTGTCTAGACGAATAGGTGGATGAAATCCATTTATACCTAATACCTCATTTTCTATGCTGTTATCAAGATGTGTTTCACTAATTGTTACAATATCAAAATGTGATAGTTCTGCAGTAATAATATCAAGTTTTGGTAGTAAGCTGTACACATTGTTGTGTGCTATTTTCAATGAACTAAGTCTCATGTTATTTGAAGGACCTGGGTTTGTTTCAATGCATCCAAGTATTAGAAGAATGCGAACCACAGTGACATGATAACGAATATTAGAATATTTATCACTGCAGTTGGCGACATACAAAGGGATAAATAAAAATCTACTTACTATCCATGGCTTAGATATACTATTTACAAATTCAATCATTGGTGTCAAAAATAAGAATATATTCAAGGAAGATAGCGAGCAAAGCCATGGGTCGTGGAAATCTGTATAAAACCGGATATACATAGAAGAATACTAAACACAGAACCAAATCCGCACAATTACTAAAAAAATAAGTGTGCGAAAAAACAAAACAAGAAAAAATATACATACAAACTAAATAAGAAACAAAATGTCTTGAAGGAATGACATCATTCGTATTGTAATGACAAGCAATACGAGGTAATGATATTTCTATAATGAGAAGTATATACAAAAACCTCATTACATGTAAGTACAAACTCAGGGTTTCCAATAAATGATCACACGAATTCGGGGTTCTCCACAAAGAGGTTTTATAATGTCTTCCACTTATAACCCCGCGAATTCGGTTTAAGAAAATAGGAAAACTAGTGTACAGAAGAACAACAACAGGTTCACGTTTATATTTTCATTTAATAGCAAACAAATAGCAATAAAATTATTGTCTAAAAATATGCATAAAGTATTTTACACATTAGAATTATGAAAAAAATCTTTGAAAAGCAAATACCTACCGAAAACCAATTATTATTCGCGACGAATTTATTTCGCGGTTTACAAGGAGTAAACTACTTGTTGACGATTAATTTTCGTTGATAAGTTTTTTGATAGACACAAATACTTTTAGGACCGGTTCGAGGCGAGAAATATTCGCAATTTCGAGGCTTTCGTGAACGTCCCGAAAATTTCTCGCACGTGAATTAAAGTTGGTTTACCATATATGGACAGCACAATCACGAGGTTGTTGTGAAATTGTTACTTCAAAATGACTGGCGGAAGAAAGAATTCTAATCAAACCTGTGTGTTTATACCAAGATCACCAGCGCAAGTGCATTCAGTTAAGTTGACTACACCAGTCAGGAATAAGATAAAATAGAATGTTCGACAAAAGTATCCACAATATGTAAGTACGCCTCCCAATTGATTAACAGGCATAAGTAGTTATATATCTATCAGTTGATTCGACACGCAAAAACATGTTCTACGTATGTACAATTTATAAAACGAGGTAAATTATTGACCAACAAATTACAATTGATGAAACAAGAATATCAGCAGTCTCTTTTA